GTTGTATGGCATTGAAGCTCGTTTGGAGGTTTGTTAACACAGTGTCCAATGAAGGGCCAGATGTATACAAAATGGTGTCGTCTGCGTAGAGGTGGATCTGAGAGTCACCAGCAGCAAGAGCGACCCTAAGCACACAGCCAAGACAATGCAGGAGTGGCTTCGGGACAAGTCTCTGAATGTCCTTGACTGGCCCAGCCAGAGGCCGGACTTGAACCCAATCGAACATCTCTGGAGAGACCTGAAAATGGCTGTGCAGCGACGCTCCCCATCCAACCTGACAGGCTTGAGAGGATCTGCAGAGAAGAATGGGAGAAACTCCCTCAAATTCAATATGCAACAATTAACGATTTTACTGAATTACAGTTCATATAAGTAAATCAGTCAATTAAAATAAATTCATCAGACCCTAATCTATGGATTTCACATGTCTGGGAAGGTGCCCAGCCATGGGTTGGCCTGGGAGGGCATAGGCCCACCCACTTGGGAGCCAGGCCCACCCACTGGGGAGCCAGGCCCAGCCAATCAGAATGAATGTTTCCCCACAAAAGGGCTTTATTACAGACAGAAATACAACAATAACAGGGATGTAAAGAAATGTGTGCACAACATTTGAGAGAAATAAGCTTTTTGTGCAAATTGAACATTTCTGGGATCTTTTATTTCAGCTCATGAAACATGGGACCAACACTTTACATGTTGCGTTTATAGTTTTGTTCAGTGTGTGTGTGTGTGTGTGTGTGTGTGGTAACCAAAAAAGTGTTAAACAAATCAAGATATATTTGATTCTTCAAATAGCCACCCTTTGCCTTGATGACAGCTTTGCACACTCTTGGCATTCTCTCAACCAGCTTCACCTGGAATGCTTTTCCAACAGTCTTGAAGGAGTTCCCACATATGCTGAGCACTTGTTGGCTGCTATTCCTTTACTCTGCCGTCCGACTCATCCCAAACCATCTCAATTGAGGTCGGGGGATTGTGGATGCCAGGTCATCTGATGCAGCACTCCATCACTCCACTCTCCTTCTTGGTAGAATAGCCCTTACACAGCCTGGATGTGTGTTGGGTCATTGTCCTGTTGCATTACCTCCATAACTTACTACATTTGCACAATGTATATAGATTTTCTATTGTGTTTTTGACTGTACATTTTGTTTATCCCATATGTAACTCTGTGTTTTTTTTTTTATCGCACTGCTTTGCTTTATCTTGGCCAGGTCGCAGTTGTAAATGAGAACTTGTTCTCAACTGGCTTACCTGGTTAAATAAAAGGTGAAATAAATAAATAAAATATATTAGGCTACATTAATTTAATCGCATCAGATTTTTTCACGTCAGATCTTTTTCAGAGCTGATCTGATTGGTCAAAAGACCAATTTGTGAATTGGACTGCCTGTGTAAACACAGCCAAAAGTTATCAGGCCAATCAGACCACGACTCTATCCTTCTGCTTCCTGTTTACAAACAGAAGCTCAAACAGGAAGTACCAATGACGCTCACAGTACCGAAATGATCTGAGGAATGCTACAGGATTGTTTTGCTAGTGCAGACTGGAATATGTTCTGGGACACATCCGACAGCATCGAGGAGTTTACATCATCAATCAAAGTTTTCATCAAGAAGTGCATCGACGAAGACTCCATGGCTTACCGGTGATATCCGCTACTGCTTTTCATGGACGGGACATGAACACATAAGTCCCGCTACAACCTCTGTCGAGCCATCAAGCACGCAAAAGGACAATATAAGATGGAATCCAACTACAACTGCTCCGACGCTCGGCGGATGTGGCAAGGCCTGCAGACTATTACTGATTACAAAGGAAGCTCCAGCCAAGAGTTGCCAAATGACACCTCTGTCCCAGACCAGCTAAATGCCTTATATGCTCCCTTTTGAGGTAAATAACACAAGCCATGCATGAGAGCCCCTGCTGTCCCGGAACAACTGTGGTCTCGCTCTCCGTGGCTGACGTGATGTGAGTAAGACTTTTAAACAGGTTAATACTCGTAAGGCCATGGGACCGGACGGAATACCATGCAGAGTTCTCAGAGCCTGTGCAGACCTGCTGGCAAGCGTCTTCACTGACATTTTCAACCTCTCCCTGACCACCATTGTTCCTGTTCCCAAGAACTCTACGGTAACTTGCTTAAATGACTAGCGCCCTGTTGCAATCACATCTGTAATCATGAAATGCTTTGAAAGGCTTGTCATGGCACACATCAACGCCATCATTCCAGATACCCTGGACCCATTCCAATTCTCATACCGCTCCAATAGAGCCACAGATGACGCAATCTCAATTGCACGTCACACTGCTCACTCCCACCTGGACAAGATGAATACCTATGTGAGAATGCTGTTCATTGACTACAGTTCAGTGTTCAACACCATAATCCCCTCCAAGCTTGTCACCAAGCTCAGGACCCTGGGACTGAACACCTCGCTCTGCAACTGGATCCTGGACTTCCTGAAGGGGTGCCCCCAGGGGGTGAGGGTAGGCAACAACACCTCTGCAATGCTGACCCTCAACACTGGGGCCCCCCAGGGGTGTGTGCTTAGTCCCCTCTTGTACTCCTTGTTCACCCATGACTGCGTGGCCACGCACGACTGCAACACCATCAAGTTTGCTGGCGACATGACGGTTGTAGGCCTGATCACAGACAACGATGAGACCGCCTACAGGGAGGAGTTCAGAGACACTCTCCCTCAATGTCAGCAAGACCAAGGAGCTGATCGTGGACTACAGGAAACGGGGGAAGCACGACCCCATCCACATCGACAGGCTGTAGTTGACCGGGTCGAGAGCTTTAGGTTCCTCTGTGTCCGTATCACCAATGACTTAACATGGTCCACACACACCCGCACAGTCGAAGAGGGCACAACAGTGCCTCTACTCCCTCAGGTGGCTGAAGAGATTTGGCATGGGCCTTCAGATCCTTAAGTGGTTCTACAGCTGCACCATCGAGAGCATCTTGACTGGCTGCATCACCGCCTGGTATGGCAACTGCACCGTCTTCGACCACACACTGATCCTCCAACACACACACACACAGTGGCTCAGTTGGTAAATGATGGCGTTTGCAATAGCAGGGTTGTGGGTTTGATTCCCACGGGCACCAGTATGAAAAAGTACAACAATTACTGCACTGACTGTAAGTTGCTCTGGATAAGAGTGTATGCTAATTGACAAAAAATAACGCAGTCACACACTCACACATACTGACGCCACACACACATTAACACACATGTACACAAACACCCACCATATACGTTGCTGCTACTTTTTTACTCTTATATTCCTGATGCCTAGTCACTTTACCCCTGCCTACTTGTACATATCTACCTCAATTACCACATCCCTGCACATTGACCTGGTAATGGTGCTCCTTGTATAGAGCTGCATTCTTGTTTTTTTATTTCTCATGTTTGTTTTAATTCTTATTTAACTCTGCATCGTTGTAAGTAAGCATTTCCATGTAAGGTCTACACCTGTTGTATTCGACGCAAATAACATTTGATTTTGACCAGGGGGTGAAGCCTCACCTGCCACACCCATTCTTCTGCAGTCTGCTCAGTAGTGCTGAGCAATTAACCGAAATGTCAGTTTATTTTCGTTTTTTAAATAACTAATTGACCAACGAGGGTTCAGTTATTTGAATTCCATTTATTTTGTTATCTTCTGTGCGCTCAATGTTCCGTTTCTCTAGAGAGATTTCTCTTTGGGACATGTTGGCCAACTCATCATAGTTAAGCACAGAAAATTTGGTAATTAACTAATTTACAATGACCAGAAGCCATTGCGCCTACAACTGCCTGTTCTCATTGGTTCTTGCCAGGCAAGCCTGCCTGTGGGGCCAGCAGACAGACATAGAGAGACACGAGAGGGATAGAAAGCGGTTGCTCAGGTATCTCTATCCGACAATACATCTAATTGATTGATAGTTATTTAGTCTTAAAAGTATGCCTTATCTACTTTGAAGAACTACTGAAATTGTGATTTCGTCAGACAGCAAGCAGCTAGCCAGCTAGGCTAGCCTATTAGCCTGAAGGATGCTACTGCCTGAGCAGAGATGACATGACTTGGAATAAAATAAGTAATCAAAAAAAAAAAAAAAAAAATTCTAATCTACACAATTGAAATGTTATTAAAGTAATGTGACTAAATATTTTATTTATTTTTTATAAGTAATGGGCAGTCACTACCATTGTGGTTTTATTAATGAAATGGTAATCATCATACTAAAAACAAAATAATATAAACAACCAAAATATTTTATTTTAGTAATGTGAATAAATGATGGCTAGCCTAATAAGTGATAGTAATGGGCAGTCACTACCATCAATTGTTTTATTCTGTTAAAGCATTGAACCGATATAATGCATTTATTCGTTATTATTTTTAAACAACGAAACTGAACCAACCTCAAAAAGCACTAATTGCTCAGCCCTACTGCTCAGACCAATCCCAGACAGTGCTAGCTAAATTTTAGCTAGAATTTTTTTTCCTACAAATATATATTTTCTATAATTTAACATTTGAATAGAAAATTAATACAGTAAAGTAACTAATTGTTACACAGAAATTCATTAATATTGAGAGAAAGTCTGCATTGGGCCTTTAAAACACTATGTGAATTTGTCAGAATACTTATTCAAATGGGGGGACTAGATGCATTTGATCTCAAAATGCTGGAGTATAGAGACAAATTAAAGATTTTAGCTTCGCTGTCAAAATACATATGGAGGTAAGTGTACATGTGGATATAATACTGTATGATATGATCAACAATCGGTCTAGGAAAAGACTCAACTTTTACAGCCAAAGTGTGAGTGACCGGGGTTTGAATCCAGGTCTCCTGTGCTCAACAAGATGTGAAGCCTGCTAAATTAAATTAATGCATATTTTCTAATTCTGCTCTATTTATGCACACATGCAAACACGCATAGGGCGAACAGTTACCTGCTTCTTTGTGCCAACATCAGGCTGACAGAGGACAGGCATCATGTGGAGGAGTCTGTCCAAATATATCTGTATCTTCTTCCTGCTGGCCCTGTCATGCCTCTTCTTCCTGTACAGCAACATTCTGGAGGTAGGATAAAGCCATCTGCACTCAAAACAACTTACAGGTCAAACATGATTCATTTATCTCACATTGCTTCTATCACCATTTACCTCCTTTACCACCCTCTCCCCTCACAGGGGAGCTACACTGGGGCTTAGCGAAAACTGTAGGTTTTTAGCTGCTACACTAGACACATAGATTTTTTACACCGGCGTGAGCAGACCACGAGCCACTTTACCAAATGTTCTCAGGTGTGAGCCGTGTGTCAAATTCTTGAAAACAGAAAAATAGCGTAATTTTACACTGAACAGCGCTAGCCTCTCACAGAGCTGTGCTGCTTACGTCCAGGTTTCATTGAAATTAATGGGAGTGTAGCACGCTCTGCAAAACATATGCTTCCAGTGTAGCACGCCTGTTGGTGACCTCTCCTCTTCCCTCAGCAGAAGCTCAACTGCCAGACGGTGTCAACAATCTACCTTCTCCAGAGCAGTATCCACCCAGCTTTCATCACAGAGGGCCCTTCTCTTCTGAGCCGCAACCAGAGTTACTGTGGCCAGGAGCCCTCACCGGAGGAGGCTCTGGAGGAGCGTGACCTCCTGGAGTCCATCACCTGGCCACAGCCTCAGCCCCATTCTGTGAATGTTTCCCTGAACCAGACCAGTGACCCTGCACACAGCCTTTTTGTGATCCTGCCAGCAGGGGGCAGGAGAGAGTGGCATGTGGGGGACCAGCTGGAGGCTCTAGTCCATATGCACGATTTCTAGGGGCGTCCCAAGAGCTATGGTGGAGACTTCTTGCTGGCCCGGCTGCACTCCTCCAAGTTGGGGGCAGGCGTTGCAGGACATGTGCTGGACCACAGGAATGGGACCTACTCTGCCATTTTCCCGTTATTATGGCAGGGGTCTGCACAGGTGGAGGTGACACTGGTCCATCCTAGTGAGGCAGTTCATGTTCTAGGACGAGAGGAACGGCCCGATCGGATTTTCTTTAAGAGTTTGTTTTCGCTCTGGAAAACTGTCCCAAACAACTGTATGTAACCTGTGTCTGCCGACAAACCAGGAGCCGCTGTGCAATTACACAGACCCCCACACAGGGGAGCCCTGGTACTGCTACAAGCCCAAGCTGCTGAGCTGTGACACACGGATCAACCACGCTAGCAGAGGAAACTATGTGAAACATCTACTCACCAACAAAGAGGCATTGCTCTTCCAGAGGTTAGTGAGGGGTACAATCCGTATGTGAGTTAAAGTGTGTCTAATTGAATCACAGACTTTGTTTTCAATGTATCAGATTGCTTGCTGCTGTGGGTTTATTTAACATTTTAAATATGATTCTCTTTCAATTCTTTCTCAGTGGTGTAAACATAAAGGTTCACATTCATCCTTCAGGGTCTGAGTGTCATTGTGCTGCCTGAGAAAAAAGGTAGGAGAGCAAGGAGATGCCACGGTACAACTGTGTGTTTATCTTTTTAACGCTAGCTAGCCAGCCTATTTTTATTTTTTATTTCACCTTTATTTAGCCAGGTAAGCCAGTTGAGAACAGGTTCTCATTTACAACTGCGACCTGGCCAAGATAAAGCATAGAGACTCTGCTCTGCTTTGTGGCTGTATACTTCAACCCTGGAGTGGTTCTGGGTGTGCAGGACAGTATTCGAGCCCACTACTGCATCTACAGTAGTGTAAGGTGGGAAAGCACCTCTATTACCTGTAAAGTGATCATGCTAGCCGGTGCAAGATGCTTGCTTTCCTTTTTCAGACAAAGCAGACGTGGAGAGAAGCAGCATGAAGACAGTCTACCAGGATCACTCCTTCCGGGTATTACTTCCAAGGGTCATGGCGAGCGCTGGGTGATGGTGTGATGCGCCAGTTTAACGACTCGTCTGCCACTCAGTGTCTGAAGGGCAAGGTGGTGTACATGTACGGAGACTCTACTGTCAGACAGTGGTTCGAGTACCTCAACGCCTTATTACCAGGTGAGTTCTGTCTGCAAGTCCTGTGACATTGCTCACTCTCTGATACCTCTGGTGCTTTCTAACTCTCTCTTCTGTCTGTCCAACTCCCAACTCTCCGTTCCTCTTTGTGACAGAGCTGAAGGAGTTCAATCTTTACAGTCCTAAGAATGTGGGGCCCTACTTGGCGGTGGACAGCACCCACAACATCCTGCTGAAGTACATTTACATTTTAGTCATTTAGCAGACGCTCTTATCCAGAGCGACTTACAGTTAGTGAGTGCATACATTATTTTTTTTAATTTTCATACTGGCCCCCCGTGGGAAACGAACCCACAACCCTGTCATTGCAAACGCCATGCTCTACCAACTGAGCTACATCCCTGCTGGCCATTCCCTCCCCTACCCTGGACGACGCTGGGCCAATTGTGCGCCGCCCCAACGGTCCTCCAATCCGCTTCAACACTGTCATCGCCAGTGAGATGCGCTATGTAGGTAACGAGCTGGATGGCCTGACTGGAGGGCCTCGCATTGTGGTGTGTATCAGCATATGGTCCCATTTCAGCACCTTCCCTGTGCAGGTCTACATTTGCAGACTACGCCACATTCGGCGGGCGGTGGTGCGGCTTCTGGACCGGGCTCCGGGGACCCTGGTAGTGTTGCGCTTGGCCAACCTCCAGGCCCTGGACCCGAAGGTGAGCCTGTACAATAGTGACTGGTTCTCAGTGCAGCTGGACGGGGTGCTCTGGGCCAAGTTCAGGGGTCTGGATGTCATGCTGATAGACGCCTGGGAGATGACCCTTGCCCACCACCTCCCCCATGCCCTCCACCCGCCGCCTATCATCATCAAGAACATGATAGACATTATCCTCTCTTGTGTCTGCCCAGGGTAGAGCTAGCAGATTGAGATTGATTTATGTCCGAATTCTCTATCATTCAAAACCTATAGTATACAATATTAGAAAAATGCCTAGAAATCCCAAATTCTACATACCGTACATGTACATTCTGTGTTTTTACCTGTTGTCCCATCACACTGAAGGACCTGTTTATGATCGTTACTCTCAATGTGGGGTGAAAAAAAAAATACCTGCACATTTGTCTATGAACAGTTGTGTCCAGATTTCTCTATTGAGGCTTATATCAAACGTAAGTGATTTGCTTATTTTTTAATTTTTATAAAAGTACAGACTGACCTTCAAAATGGTTTATCATACATTGTAGTTGGAGGAAACATGGGAAAGTTATCCTGCTTTAAAAGTTGATCAACTTTTTAATTTAGGGGGTAGATCAGCTTTAATATTTCAGATAGATTGTAACTTCCATCAATGTAATTGTCTGCATCACTTCCAATTCCCCATATGTTTTTTTCTCGCAAATATATATATATATTTACATACATACACACATATATATATATATATATATATATATATATATATATATACACACATACATACATACATACATACATACATACATACACACACACACACACACACACACACACATATCCTTTTAAAATATATTTCCCTTCATTACTTTCCAACCCCACCACCCCTTCCCCAATTGGAGTAAACTAGTGAACAACAATGCTTAGGCCTCTACTTCCAGCCCATACACACTATATACATGTTATGGACACAGTCAAATTCTACAATAATTATATTTAGTTTGTTTTTACTCCTGAACTTCCTCCGATCATTTTCATGATGTCCATCTGGTTTGCTTCTATATGCCATATTTTTCTAACTGTGCTCTTTCACAAAAGCTCTCAAACTATAACCTATATACTTATTATGGACACAGTATGCTTTACATTAGTTATCTTGTTGTTATTAGTTGTTATTAGTCCCATCCTTCAGCTCCATTCAACACCTCTCATCTATCTCGTAACACCATCCATATTGGATTTCTATTTGCCATATATTTTTCAACTGTACTGTGATGTTTTACAAAAGTTCTGAACCTTTCTATTCTCATTGTTTCTACAGATCGTAAATTGAATATAAACATTTTTGCTAAAAGTATTATTATATTATTGATCGATTGACTATGACTTTTCAGATCACCCAGTAGTGCTATCTGCAGGGTTAGCTCCAGGTAAATATTGCAATCCTTTAGCCATTCCTGGACCTGTGTCCAAAAACAAGCTACAAATGGACAGTACCAAAATCTAATGATTCTGTCTCTTCGCAGCAAAATCTGCAGAGCTGGGAAGATTGTATCCCCCATATAAATAACATTATATTGGTAGCAAGAATTTTATATAATAATTTAAATTAAACAATTCTAAGTTTTGAATCCGGCGTCGTTTTGCGTATAAATTAATTTTTTATAAAAGTACAGACTGACCTTCAAAATGGTTTATCATACATTGTAGTTGGAGGAAACATGGGAAAGTTATCCTTTAAAAGCTTTAAAAGTTGATAAACTTGTTATGCCAGTTTGGAGATAAGTATGAGAAAATGACCTTAACGATTTGGAGATATTCACACCTAGAGAGCTCTTTTTGTTTATGCCCATTCAGCATAGATCACACCCTCTTAAGTCTTAGCCCCACCCACACATTCAATGACATGTGAGTCAGAATGGCATTGGCCTCCAGAAAGTAGTCTCTCTACTTAAACCCAGAGCAGCAATGTTTTTGAGAGCTGTAAGAAGACTTTTGTAGTTGTCCATAGCTATAACGTTCCAAAAAATCTGCGGTAGCAAAGACTATCTATATCTATATACTGGCTGTGTGGGGATGGGGGGAATGGGATGGGATGGAGATGGGGATTGGGGGTGGAGGGGGAGGCGGAGGCCCACCTCTTTTTGTTTATTTTCCTTTATAAAAATTTTTTTGTAAATCTCTAATTATTTGTTTATCTGTCTTAGTGCTGAGCGATTATTGCTTTTTGAGGTCGGTTTGGTTTCGGTTAGATTATTAAAATAATAATCATGGTTTTCGATTTCAGCTTTGATAAAAAAAATTGCCTTAAATGCATTATGAAATAATGACTAAATTATTTTATAACTTTTTTTATGGAAATTCCAAGCCAAAAATTATGAACATTCAATTGCCAAAACTAAAATATTTAATTGTCTCTGTCAGGTCCACAGACAGGGCAGACATCAATAGAAAAATAGGAAATTACTATGAAATAATAAAATATTTCAATTGTGTATATTACTTAATTTTGATTTGATTACTATATTATTTTTCATTCCTTAAAGTCATCATCTCATCTCTGCTCGGGCAGTAGCAGCTGCAAAGCTGTCTGACAAAATCATTTTACTAGTTCATCAAAGTACTCCAAAAGTATGTGGACACCTGCTCGTCGAACATCTCATCCCAAAATCATGGCCATTAATATGGAGTTGGTCCCCCATTTGCTGCTATAACAGCCTCCACTCTTCTGGGAAGGCTTTCCGCTAGATGTTGGAACATTGCTGCGGGGACTTCCTTCCATTCAGCCACAAGAGCATTACTGAGGTCGGGCACTGATGTTGGGCGATTAGGCCTGGCTCGCAGTTGGCGTTCCAATTCATCCCAAAGGTGTTCGATGAGGTTGAGGTCAGGGCTCTGTGCAGGCCAGTCAAGTTCTTCCACACCGATCTCGACTAACCATTTCTGTATGGACCTCGCTTTGTCCACGGGGACATTGTCATGCTGAAACAGGAAAGGGCCTTCCCCAAACTGTTGCCACAAAGTTAGAAGCTCAGAATTGTCTAGAATGTCATTGTACGCTGTAGCGTTAAGATTTTCCTCCACTGCAACTAAGGGGCCTAGCCCGAACCATGAAAAACAGCCCCAGCCCATTATCCCTCCTCCACCAAATTTTACAGTTAGCACTATGCATTGGGGCAGGTAGCGTTCTCCTGGCATTCACTCAGTGGTCCCGTTCTGTGAGCTTGTATGGCCTAGCACTTCACGGCTGAGCCGTTGTTGCTCCTAGACGTTTCCACTTCACAATAACAGCACTTACAGTTGACCGGGGCAGCTCTAGCAGGGCAGAAATTTGACGAACTGACTTGTGACGGTGCCACTTTGAAAGTCACTGAGCTCATCGGTAAGGCCATTATTTTGCCAATGTTTGTCTATGGAGATTGCATGGCTGTGTGCTACATTTTATACACCTGTCAGCAATGGCTGTGGCTGAACTAGCCGAATACACTAATTTGAAGGGGTGTCCACATACCTTTGTATCTATAGTGTAGATAAGGCATACTTTCACCAACTGTCTCTATCCCTCTAGTCATTGTGTGTACATTCCTCTCTCATGCGGTCTATGCAGTCTGTGTATATCTAAAGTAGCAGGCGGTAAAGTGTATCTGTCTCTGTCGGTTTCCATTAGATCGCACTGCCACAAAGTCAAAATTGGCTATGTTGTACAAATTCATGAAAACAAAATTTAGCTTTTTGGTCTTAAGGTGAGGGTTAGGCATAAGGTTTAAGGTGTGGGTTAGGCTTCAGGTGAGGGTTAGCAGTGTGGTTAAGGTTAGGTTTAAAATCACATTTTAAGAAGATACATTGTAAAAATAGGTGGGGTTTAGGACTTTGTTTATGGCTGTGGCAACTAATGACGACCATCTCTGTACGAGCCAGAAACAACAGATGCAATGGATTATGGTCATTGTAGTTAATTACCACGTTTCTGCGCTGAACTAGGTTGAATATTTGCTTAATGGAAACTACAACTCCCTTCAGTCCAACGTCCCACATAGTTCTTGAGTTGATTTCTCTCATGAATGATTTGAAAACCCTGAACTAACTGGAATTGAAGTCATTGAACCAACATAGGTCAATTTATTATTTAATAATAACACACAAAAAAAGAAATTTCAGCACTAATCTGTTTTACAAATGTTGGATGGTTTCTTTTTTTTTTCTTTCTTTTTTTACAGCCATTTGAAAGGGGTAGGTGCCTACAAGCCTCTCTAGGTTTTTTACATCCCCTGCATGTGCTCTTTTCATTTGCCTTTTAAAGTTACTTTTTTTTTGTTAAGCGTGCATTCAATTGCCCCTCCCTGTTGCACACAGCAAGCTTGGCTGGTTTAAGATGAAATTGTCAACCCTGTTAGTCAACCCTGTTACTTTAATTGTCACCTTTTAAAGCAATTTTTCTTATTTAAACCTCTGGAGATGGGAAAACAACATGTTTGTTATGAAGTTGAACATGTGCTCTTTATGACAGAATGTTAAAATAGGTGAAATCAATAGTTATTACACTATCCCAAAGGCACTATTTCAGTGGAACGACCCAACTAAGATGGATACCACACAAACAATTAGGTGCTCAGTCTGAAACTGAGAAACATGCAATAGGGGACAAATTGTCAGACACACAAATGTGTACACGTGCACACACAGACAAACACACAAGTGCCCACGTACACGCGCGCGTGCACACAGACACACACATTAACACTGCAGGTACAGACGATACATCATGTCAGCTTGAATATTTTTTTTTATTCCAAATGAGTTTGTGTGTCTATAGGCTTTAAAACCAGGTGGTTGCTATGGAGAGGACGTACCCTCCACCCATCTCCCCAAAACAGCAGCATCCTCCTATAGACCCGTACTTCAATAGGAATCATAATAATAATAATAATAATAACAACAATGTAATCATAATAATATTCAACGTCATTCTTTTAATAATCCATTTAGCACTAGTATAGAAATATGAAAAAATAACAGAGAACCGAAAAGTAAACAAAAACAGTTTGTTGTTTTGTTGAGTGACCTCTCTCTCTCCTCGCAGACATCTCTCTGATTCACTTTGGCCACCCCTCCTTCCCTCCCCCTGACATTCCTATACGTCCCAATACTCAAAGCTCTTCCTTTTCTTATGTTCTTTCCTTCTTCACCACTGATAGGTGAAAGGACAGGATAGAGCTCCATCAGTGCTTTCACCTGTCTAGGCCTGTAAGATCAATTGTTGTGTAGGAAAGGAGACGAGGAAAGGAGGCCAATTAAGTGTATTGGGACAAAGCCATCCAGTGGTTTCACAGCATTGAGTTGAGACTAGACAGAAACCACAGACTATATGGTGACCTATGCAGCTGTGCGTGTCTGTTTCACTGCTGCACTGTGGGTCCAAGAGAAGACCACAGAGATAATTATATATTTCGTAGGTTGTATGGTTATGTCTGTCTGTCACTGTGTGTGTGTGTGTGTGTGTGTGTGTGATTATCTGTGGTGTATGTGTGAGAGAGACACATTAGAGGCAGCAGAAAGCCTCAGAAAGGCTTCAGAGACCCACCAAAGAATTGACTTGAACCCTGTAACATTATTCCCCGTCATACTTTTATAACATTAATCCATGACCTCAGTCTCCTCCGTAGTCATTGGGTGGCTATTAGTTATTAAACGGGAATAATTACCAGATCCAAAGCTCCACAGGCTGGAATGAGAGGGCTCAGGGTGGTGTGGAGCTCAGTGTGGAGCTCTGGCAGGCGTCTGTGCTGCAGACAGCCAGCTCAATGTGATGTAGAGCAGGGAAGCTTTAGTCCCAGCCTCCTGGCAGCACAGCCAAGCCCCCAGCAAGATGCTGCCCAGAATTACCAGATCAGGAGAGATCTCATTATGGAAGTAGTTCAATTAGGGATTTGTCATTCTGATACAGTGTCCTCTTTTTATCTCTCTGTTTCTCTGTTTATTTCCTATTTTTTATCTTTCTCTCTCTCCTCTTCCTCTCTCCATCGCTCTCTCCTTTTTCTCTCTCTCTCCTCTTCCTCTCTCTCTGTACTATGAACAGAGATAAAGAGGAGAAAAGGCTTGGCAAGTATTCTCCAGAATAACGAGTCATTTCACATCTCAAAGCCTCTGATTTTCATACACTTACACTGAAATGGTATGATCATTTGTTCCTCTCACTTACTGTAAGGACAGACATCTGCACACACACACACACACACACACACACACAGCAATTATATTATGCATATGCTGACTTTGTTGCAACTAATTTCCAGCCAACTCCGCCTTCTTCAATGTCGTTTCAAAAGCAGCTACGGGGTGCACGGATGGACAAAACACCTCCTCCACACAGTACACCTCAGGGGAGTCTTCATAGTGTGTCGTGATCTACCACATTAGTCACATATATAGTCTTTATTTTTCTGTAACTGCCACTTAGAACAATGGTAACCAAACATCAAAGACAACAACAAAAAAATCTGAAAAATCATATAATTCTCTGAGTCAGTTTTAAAGTCTTCTGTTGTTGTTGTATGTTACATAGATTAAAGGTCCTCCAGGATCGATGTGTGCTCCTCCTCCAGTGGTCACCGTCCAGAGACGAAGAGCTGGCCGCTCTAGATGAGAGTCTGTGGTATCATAGAAAGGGAAAAAGAGAGAGAGAGAGAGAGAGCGAGAGAGAGAGGAGAACAGAGAGAGACCAACAGAGAAACCAGTAGGTCTGGCATCATATTATGTGCGTTACCTGACTGCTTTATCCAGTGTAGCTCAGTCCTGATTGGTCCACTGGTAAGTCAAGATAAGAACCGAGCAGCCATCTTCAAGTAAATCACAAAGCCAGAACACAGCAGAGCATGGTTCTGTGAACAGACTGGGCTAACATCAGAACCAGCTGGGCAGCGCGCTGGAGAGCAAAGGAAGTCTCTCAGTCTTTCTCCTTCTGTATGGGTGTGTCTTTTGGTATCTGTGCAAATATATCATTTCCATTGCTTCATCACACATCTCACAATGTCTTTGTGCCCTCTAATTATCTCTCTCTCTGTCTCCCTCCTCCTCTCCCTGTAGTTCCCTCCTGGAGGCCAATGTACGGAGGGTCGCAGAATAGTGCGTCACTGAGCAGCTCAAATATCAGTTAAGCCGCCGTTAACTTGCCCCCCATATAACCTCCAGCCTCTCCTAGTCTGTCAGTCTTAGTCCTGCTCCCCCAGAAGGTCTGTGCTGATGCTGCTCTGTGGGGGTGGTATGGGTAGGCAGGCTGCAGGGGTGCTGTGGGGGAGCCGCCGGGGGCTGGACCCCCCTCCCCCCTCGCTGTCTGTGTTGGAAGAGGAGGGGACAGGCGGAGGGGGCAGGCGGGGCAGGGGTGCAGATGAGGGGGGGATCCTCGTGGACCCCATCCCTGACCTCAGGCTCTGGATCCTCCTGCACTCCTGGCAGATCCTGACGTGTGTGCAGCTGCGAGGGAGCGCCACGGGGGCCTGCGGCTGGGACGGGTGAGGAGGGGTGGTGTTGGCCCCCAGAGGGTCTTCCAGGAGTCGCTGAGGCCCGGGGCCCATGTCTGAGGGACCTCCCCCAGCCCCTACACCCCCTCCTGGCCCCCCTGCTCCCCCAGTCAGTGGTCCCGAGCCGCTGTAGAGCTTGCCGTTGCTGAGGCGCATCTCCCGTACGAGGCGGAGGGGCCGCTGGGCCCCCAGGGCGATGCGGGTGGGGTGGCGGAGGGCCGCGGAGTTGCCCAGGGGGCGGCGACGACGGGAACGGGAACTCTTCTTACAGGAGACGGCGTTTCGGAACTCGGTGAGCATCTCTTGACAGACAGACACCTGAGAGGACAGAGGAGAGACAGAGGGACGACGGGAAGGAGAGAACAGGGGGCCACAAAAGCAAGTAGACAGACGGGGGGAAAAGAGGGAGGGCAAAGGGAGAGAGCGATAGATAGAGAGGGGGGGAGAGTAGGAAGGCGGGGGGAAGAAAGAGGGAAAGCAAAAAAGAGAAGGAAAGCAGAAACAGGGCGGAGGTGGAGTAAAAGAGATGGTAGGAGGAGAGGAGGACCGAATGAGGGTATAGAAAGGTAGAAATGGGGGGATGGCAATGAAAGTGGCAATGAATAGAAATGGTTTGGAGATCATGAGGCGAGATGTAGAGATGAATAGAGGTTGGAGAATATCCAAAGAGCAGAGGGAGTTAATACAATCCATACAAATTACCAACTGAACAGAACAAATTGTGTTCATTACATATTATATATAATATATAATGGTACATAATGAACTATGAACAAACAGGCAGGCCCGCAAACTGAGGTGCATGTAGACACACAACACAAACACACACACACACACACCCAAACACACACACACATACACACCTCTTAACATTCCAACAGCATCACACACTTGCACAAAAAGTTCCAACAAAATGCATCAACAAGGACACATAGACATAGACATTATGGGATATTCTAATCTACAAAATCATAACAATGATAAATAATACTCTTACACAAACAGAAACAGTATTCATTGTCAGAAAACAGACACTGATTGACAGAATGACAGGTGCGGCAGACACACAGAGAGATGAGTGATCCAAGAATGGAAACGAAGAGTACCAGCATACATGTGAGGCATGTAAAAGAAGATACATTATGACATTTAATGCCAGGGAAATCATTACACACTGCTTCTTATGCAAGCAAATATTGGCATCACAATATTGGCTTATCCATACCCTATACTAAACATGAACACTTTCTGATCACAGTCAAAATACCCTCATGCGGTCAACACCAACACCCGTACTATAGCATGCCAACACAAGTACATTCACACAACATCACAACACGTGACTGGACCCTGATCTGAGTTTACAGGAGAAATTTGAGGTTTAGTTGTAAAAATAGCAGCCCTCATCACCCATGCACAATACACAGCAAACCCAACAGTGAAACACACAGACTAGACACACACTGATCAACATTCACACACACGCAAATGGTGCTAGAAGCAGCCCGACGAACACATATTCAAACACACACACATACACACACACACATAAAGTGACAGAGGCAGCCCAACAAACACACACACGCTGCACGACAGAGGATGGGGAGTCAGGGTTGGTGTGTTGCCATGGGGACCTACTGGGGTGGGTCTGTGGTGTCGGCGAGGGCAGGAGTGTGGGCGTACCTCGTCTGTCTCTGAAGAGCAGCGCGTCGACCACACAAACTCCATGATGGCCACGAAAACAGCGATGATGAGGCCACAGATCAACACCACGAAGATACCCCCGATGTTCTCCATGCCCAGACCTGTGGAGGAGTGACAGGATGGTTAATACACACAGACATACAGTACCACCAATATGCCCCTGATATAATACAAGAACAGTTACACACTCACAAAACCACAGACCCTGATAGTCTCACATCTTACATTCGTACATTCAGAACACTCACAGACATTAGTTGAGACACAAAGCTGCAAAGACATTAGAAACAGAGTAGTGTACTAACCCTTGGCTCTGTGGTCCTCCTCTTTAGGGCACTGTCCTCCCTCCCACCACCTCCTCTTCAGGATCTCCAGCCTGTTGTTCTCCTGCAGATGCAGGATGGCCATAGTGATCTCCTCTCTGAATGGAGAGCCTATGGACGAGAGGATAGAGGGAGGAAGAGAAAGAGGGGATTAAAGATGGAGAGGAAGAGGAATTAAAAGGCTTAAGGTCTCCTCCCCTTCTCATCCAGATGTTGTGGGTTGTACCACTCCCCCGTCTCTCCCTGTCTCCCATCCTCCCTCCATTTCACCGCCATTCTCACCCAATCTCTTCTTCTCCTCTCCCCATCTCTCCTCTCCCCATCTCTCCTCTTTTCCATCTCTCCTCTCCCCATCTCTTCTCTCTCCTCTTTCCCATCTCTCCCTCCCCATCTCTCCTCTTCCCCATCCTCTCCTCTCCCCATCTCTCCATCTCTCCTCTTTCCCATCTCTCCTCTCCCCACCTCTCCTCATCTCTCCTCTTTCCCACTCTCCTCTCCCCATCTCTCCTCTTTCCCTCATCCTCTTCTCTCCCATCTCTCCTCTTGCCCAATCTCTACCTTTCCCTCTCTTCTCTTTCCCATCTCTCCTCTTTCCCATCTCTCCCTCTTCTCCCATCTCCCTCTCTCTCTCTCTTTCTTCCCATCTCTTCTCTCCCTCTCTCTCCTCTTTCCCTCTCTCCCATCTCTCTCTCCCCATCTCTCCTCTCCCCATATCTCCTCTCTCCATCTCTCATCTCTCCTCTTTCCCATCTCTCTCTCTGATGTAGTAGCTCTAGATATCCAGCAGACATCCAATTTCTCTCCCCCATACCTCCCTCCCTCCATCCCTTTTCCCCCATACCTCCCTATCTCCATCCTTCCCTCCCTCCCTCCATCCCTCTCTCCTCCCATACCCCCTTCCCTCCATCAATCTCTCCCCCATACCTCCCTCCATCCATCCCTCTCTCCCCCATACCTCCCTCCCTCCATCCCTCTCTCCCCCATACCTCCCTCCATCCCTCCCTCCCTTCATCCCTCTCTCCCCACATACCTCCATCCCTCTCTCACCCAGACGCATACCATTGCCATAGTCCTTTGGTGTCCAGCAGGCCTTCTATACTCTCTCCTTCTCCTATCTACCCCCCATCCTCCCATCCCTCTCTCACCCAGTGGCATGCCGATGCCGTAGCCCTTGGTGTCCAGCAGACCACCTATCTGGGTGAGGTTACAGTTGAGTTTGCGGTAGTACTCATTCATGGTGCTCTCCAGGAGGAAGGCATATTTAGAGTTGACCACGCGGGCAATGCCCTCCTCCGTGCTCTTCACAAACACACTGGGCTGCTTGGAGTGCATGTAGTTCCACATGCGCTGGTATGTCTGGTAGCGTGAGTTCTGGAGGGAGGTGGGGGGGTGTGGAGGAAAGAGAGAGAAGGGAAGTGGGAGGGAGGGGGAGAGGGGAGGAAGGGAGGGGGAGAAGGGATATAGATGGAGGGGTAGGAAAAGAGAGAGATATATTTACTCATTTATATTTCCTCATAATTAAACAGATGCATGATCCTTTATCCAGATGGAGCTGAATCAAACGCCAGGTGGTAGTGTACATACAATATGGCATGCTAAGGAACAGCAAAGACACAGAGTCAAGGTAACAGCAACCAGATACAGTATTATATATGCAACAAACTGGGTGAGATGTAAAATGGGTTGGATGTGAAGGGCTCTTATGTAGTGTGTACAGTTAAGAGGTAGGTGGAGAGGGGGATAATGCAGCATCAAGGGAGGTCTGGGTAAGCAGAATGAATATACACACAATAAAGATACACACACACGCACACATACACAAACTCACACACACACACCTAAACACTTACTCACAAACATGCATGCACACTCAAACACACACTCCAAACACACTGACAAACACAGATGCAGACACAGATGCCAGCAGCTCTTACATAAGCAAACACTGACACTCAGCCACTTAACACTAACAGCCATAAAGAACACAACAGGAGCTCAGAGACATGCCGGCAAATAGGGAAACAACTAATAATAATATAATAATATGCCATTTAGCAGACGCTTTTATCCAAAGCGACTTACAGTCATGTGCGCATACATTTTTACGTATGGGTGGTCCCGGGGATCGAACCCACTACCCTGGCGTTACAAGCGCCATGCTCTACCAATTGAGCTACAGAGGACCACTACACACATACACACACACTGTGCTCAACCACATACACACTTTACCATACACACACACACTGTACATGCAAATAGGAGTGATCTGAGACAGGTCAGCAAATAGTAGAACAACAACTCACCCACACACACACACACACACCTCCCTACCAGTCATTCTCCATTCAAAGCGTGCTCTACATACTCCCAGCCCCCCTGGCCCAGCGTCTAGCCGTACCATGAAGAAAGTCATGGTGCTCCCCCCGTGGATGGTGCCATACTCGATGTTGGTCTGGTCGGCCAGGTCGTCAGGAGACTCGATGGGCACCTCCATCCTCTGGACGGTCAGGAAGGCAGCCAGGTTGGCCGTGTAGGACGAGATGATGATCAGAGTAAACATCCACCTGGGAGAAGAGAGAGAGGGAGAGTTAGAGAGAGTAAGAGAAGGAGAGGGGGGATAGAGAGAGGGAAAGAGAGGTAGGACTGAGGGGAAAGAAAGGGAGGACCGTCAGAGAGAGACAGAGAATAATTCTTAATCCAGAGAGAGAGAGAAAGAGAGAGTCAGGGAGAGAGACAGAGAGAGAGTCAGGGAAAATAAAGTGACAGAATGACAGACAGGGAGAGAAATTAGGGAGGAGAGGGTGACAGAGAGACATTTACTCAGACAGACAGACTGACATATACTTACCTACCCATCTACACACACACACACACACACACAGACTCACCAGACCCCTGAGACGCAGCGTGTGGACAGGGCACGGGGCATGATCTCAGAGCCCTGCTGCATGAAGCCTCCTACAGGGAACCATAGGCTGTTCCCTAGGGTGTACTGGTTCTCCAGCATGTCCTTGTGCCCATGCAGACACGGGTGTGGGTTGTACCACTCATAGGGACTCAACCTGGGAGTAGGAGAGGGTGGAGAGGAGATGAGGAGTACCCTTTTAGAAAAAAAGGGTTCCATAAGGGTTCTTCAGCTGTCCCCATAGGAGAACCCTTTTTGGTTTCAGGTAGAACCCTTTTGGGTTCCATGTAGAACCCCCTGTGGAAAGGGTTCTACATGAAACCCAAAAGGGTTCTACCTGGAACCAAAAACAGTTCTTCAAAGGGTTCTTCTACGGGGACAGCCGAAGAACCCTTTTAGGTTCTAGATAGCACCTTTTTTCTGAGGGGAGAAAGGACCATAAGGACCTCTGTACACAACGTCTATCTATCTCAACCAAGGCATTTTAATTCGGTGTGTATATAAGCTACTGCAACTCATTATTATTCAATTGTGTCAACCAAAAACGCACAAACAATCCCAGAGTTCCTCACTAGTTTCCTGTTCCTGTTGCCCTGGGTTACTGTGGTGCTCTCTCATGCACTTACCTTGCAGCCAGGAAGAGCACACAGCTGACAGCCAGGTAGGCTAGCAGCATGAAGAGCCAAACGGCCGGAGAGAATGGGTCCAGGAAGGAGAAATATCCTGGCTTCCTCCCCTAAGACAGAGACAGAGAGCAATAGGACAGGTTGGAGTGGCCGTATTACATTACATAGTTGTCCTATAGTTCCTCTTTCAACCACAGAGGGGCAGTGTTCTTCCCTGCAACTGTACAGTATAATAATAATAAAGCTGTTCATAATGCAACAAATGTGAGCCTCAGAGAATTGAACGATAAACGTGTGCGACATACAACCATGAACTCTATAAGACCATCTACCCATTCTATCTTTCAGAATCAGATATCCTCGATAGCCTCAAAGAAATGCATTGTCACAGCCCATGAAGCAAACAGGATAGCACAAACAGCAGTTAGTGAAATCCAATACACTCAACTTCTCTGGTGTGTCTATTTGCCTTACCAGGTGGACTCTGTACAAGATGCTGATTCCTAGCGTCATGAAGGGCTTGGAGAAGTCTATGACTTTCTCCCTCTCAGACGTGATGGTGAAGCCTGCTACTGCCAAGTCTGCTTTCTGTGGGAGAGAGAGAGAGAGAGAGAGAGAGAGAGAGAGAGAGAGAGAGAGAGAGAGAGAGAGAGAGAGAGAGAGAGAGAGAGAGTCAGAAATAGATGACAACAAACCAGAGACCACTGGTTTGGAGATGTACCTATGAGCCAATGGCATTGCCTCCACCTCTCAGAGGGAGAAAGACAGAGTGACACAAACAGAGAGAAAAATAGTGTTTTCAGAGAGACAATAGACCCAGAGATCCACTGCAGTAGAACTGTTGGCTGGCTGGGTGTTCCACATATGGAACCTCCTGTCAGACAGTCAAATTAAAGCCTAATTGATGAACATGGGATTAGTCTGGTTTGATCAGTCAGGAGAGCAGAGAGAGCAGAGAGAGTGGGGAGCAGGTCAGCACCATGGCAAGAGCCACATGGGGACCACACTGTGGTAATTGAAGTATGCTGTACGCTAATTAAGCAGACGTAGTCTCTTATTATCGAGTGTGCCTGTGTGTGTGTGTGTGTGCCTGTGTGTGTGTCTGTGTATGCGTGTGCGTGTGTTGTGTGTGTGTGTGTGTGTGCGTTCGTGCGCGTGCGTGCGTGCACGTGCGTGCGCATGTGCTCACCCTGTTGATGAGCTCTCCCACCATGCCGGTCCAGGACCCATTGGGTTCAGGCGCTCCATACAGCCCATCATCCACCAGTTTGATCCTGAAGGAGCACTTCAAGATGTCTGCCAGCTCTCTCAACATGTCCACACAGAAGCCCTCGTACTGGTCATTCCCCTGGTACTCCTGGTAGTTCCCCTTACGCATCACATAGGGGCTCTCCTGCACACAGAGGAAGAGGATAGGGAGGGGACAGAGGGATGCATGTCAACTCTGGTATTACTATGTGCAGGACACTGATATGATTTACTGAAATGACCTTAGATTATACACTGAGTGTACAAAACATTAAGAACACCTTTCTAATATTAAGTTGCATTCCCTTTTTCCTTCAGAACAGCCTAAATTCATCGGGGCATGGACACTACAAGGTGTCAAAAGTGTTCCACAGGGATTCTGGCCATGTTGACTCCATGGTTTCCCACAGTTGTGTCAAGTTGGCTGGATGTCCTTTGAGTGGTGGACCATTCTTGATACACACGGGAAACTGTTGAACGTTTAAAAAAACAGCGTTACAGTTCTTGACAAACTCATACTGGTGCACCTGGCTCCTACTGCCATACCCCGTTCAAAAGCACTTAAATATTTTGTCTTGCCCATTCACCTCTGAATGGCACACATATAAAATCCATCATTCTTTAACCTATCTCCTCCCCTTCATCTATACTGATTGAAGTGTATTTAACTATTGACATTGATAAGGGATCATTGCTTTCACCTGGATTTCACCTGGTCAGTCTATGTCATGGAAAGAGCAAGTATTCCTAATGTTTTGTACACTCAGTGTATATGATGATGACCTCAGTATATGGTGGTTTTAATAAATGTTTTGACCTCACCCATATGGTGGTCATAATAAATGTTTTGACCTCACCAGTATGGTGGTAATAATAAATGTTTTGACCTCACCAGTATGGTATTCATAACTGTTTTGACCTTACCAGTATGGTGGTCATGATAACGGGTTTGACCTCACCAGTACGGTGGTCACAATAAAGGTTTTAACCTCATCAGTATGGTGGTCATAATAAAGGTTTTGACCTCACCAGTATGGTGGTGACGATGAGGGTCTTGTTGGCCAGCGTCTCCGAGATGTTGATGTCCAGACTGGTGGCGTTCATAGCTAGTGTGTTGTTGGAGTACCAGATACCAATCTGAGAGAGAGAGAGAGAGAGAGAGAGAGAGAGAGAGACAGAGACAGAGACAGAGACAGAGACAGAGACAGAGACAGAGAGATAGACAAAGAGACAGAGAGACAGAGAGAGACAAAGAGAGAGAGACAAAAGAGAGAGACAAAAGAGAGAGACAAGAGAGAGAGAGAGAGAGAGAGAGAGAGAGAGAGAGAGAGAGAGAGAGAGAAAGAGAGAGAGATAGAGAGAGAGAGAGAGAGATGATAATAATTGCAGGATGTGTGTGAATTATAATTTTTTCCTCTTCTCGTGCTGTATTTCTAAGAGAACAGTTTCTAGGAGCGTTGTAGATACAGAGGTCAGCACCCTCACTGTGTTTGAAATGTAGAACGTTAAAGACCTTCACGTTCAGTGGGAAAACCATCTAATTAGAATTCGAGTGGTACATTTTTGGAGATGCCTTTGGAGTCTCGTATCGTAAATGCCAACCCAAAAAACAATCATTGATTTTGCTGTTCTATTTAGCTTTTAGTCCTCAGCTGGTGTTATAGCTAAGTATATAGCTAGCGAATCACAAGGCACTTCCATATCATAACCAAATCTAATTCTATGGCTAGAATGTCACTGTTATGGTGGACTACTGTCAACACGGAAGCCATTGTGTGTCAAACTCTGTTTCTCTATAACCCCAGTGCCCTCTGACCTCTCTGTGACCCCTGCGGTGTTTCTCCAGGATCCTCAGGGTGTAGTTGGTCCTCTGACCTTTACTGTTGAACTCCACACGGCCTGTCAGACCATCATACTCCACCTGACAGAGAGAGGGGGGAGGGAGGGATGGACGGAAATATAATTAGGATGCCAATAAAGCTCATTTGAATTGAATGGAATTTAATGAATTGAGAGAGAAAGAGAAAGAGGTACGAGAGAGAGAAAGACAAGAGAGAGAGAGAGAGAGAGAGAGAGAGAGAGAGAGAGAGAGCGATACAGAGAGAGAGAGAGAGAGAACAATATACTTACACGCTACACATATCTAGTACACAGAGTGACAGTGCTGACAGAGCTTGATAGAGCTAAGATGAATGGAGAGGTGGTGAAGATGGAACACACCCAGTGGTTTTATAACAGAGACAAATCACAGGCCTGTACCGAGGACACAAAGAGAGATGGAGCACAGGCAGCCATGAAGACAGCTCGACAATGAGACACACAGACAACCATCCATGTAAAATAACAAAGAATAACAGGGAAGGAGGAGTGCCAGATGGAAGACAGACAGAAAGACCAGAGAAGAGAAGAGTGACACAAACGCCTATTACCAACAACACTGGACCCCAACACAACGACATGGTGGGCAGGACAGGAGTGTGACCCAACACAACGACATGGTGGGCAGGACAGGAGTGTGACCCAACACAACGACATGGTGAGCAGGACAGGAGTGTGACCCAACACAACGACATGGTGGGCAGGACAGGAGTGTGACCCAACACAACGACATGGTGAGCAGGACAGGAGTGTGACCCAACACAACGACATGGTGGGCAGGACAGGAGTGTGACCCAACACAACGACATGGTGGGCAGGACAGGAGTGTGACCCAACACAACGACATGGTGGGCAGGACAGGAGTGTGACCCAACACAACGACATGGTGGGCAGGACAGGACTCTGACGGACTAATATGCTGTAGTTGCTGGTGACTTGTTTAACAATATGGCTGCCATTGATAGCTAAATGGCATATATATTGATATGAGAAGAAACAACTATCTTCTTTTCAAATGAAGACTCACAATGAAAGTAAAGTGTGTGTTCTTGTGTGTGTGCATGTGCCTGCGTGTGTGTGTGTGTGTGTGTGTGTGTGTGTGTGTGTGTGTGTGTGTGTGTGTGTGTGTGTGTGTGTACTGACCATGCGTAGGTAGTTCATGAGGCTGGTGCCATGTTGCCAGATCTGAGGAGAGGTGCAGCTGAGAGGTTTGACTCCAATCTCCTGACTCCTGTTGAGCTCCCTCACCGCTCCCACCACAACGTGCACCGCGTCAAACATCAACGCTGACGACAACTGGAGGGGGAGAAGGAGGGGGACGGGGGAAAGAGAGGAGAAATGGGCAGAAGGAGGAGAAGAGAGTTACAGGAGGGAGGAGAAGAGGCATGGTGGGTAAGAAATTGCAGGAGGGAGGAAGGGGTAACATGGTTCATAACATATTAATAACTTTATTCCATTTAGGTGTCTGTATTTGGTGATTCAATGAGACAAGCATCCATATAGACCATTTAAAACCTACACTTGTTACCATACAACTTAATACAAGGTATGCACCAGCTGACACTGGGCTAAAAAATGAAGCATTTGATGTGTGAATGTAACAGCCTGGTAGGACATACCGCAGGTCCGGGGTAGATGAGATCACAGCCCTCCCTCCAGGACAAGTTGAGACTCCTGATGAACTCCAGGTAGAACGGATGGGTGGTGTTGAACATGGAGAACCCTATGATGTTGGACTGGTCATCCACTATGTCATCCAGCCTCAGCAGGGGGAAATCCTGGGAGAGGGGAAGGAGAGGATAAGTTGGGTGAGTGACGTGTATGAAATCTCAGAGAGAGAGCGAGAGAAAAAGAGAGACAAAGAGAGAGAGCGCGAGAGAGAGAGCGAGAGAGAGAGAGAGAGAGAGAGAGAGATACAGTGCATTCAGAAAATATTCAGACCCCTTGACCTTTTCCAAAAAAAATTACGTTACAGCCTTATTCTAAAATTTATGAAATTGTAATTTTTCCTCATCAAGCTACAGACAATACCCCATAATGACAAAGCAAAAACAGGTTTTTAGATGTTTTTGCAAATGTATACCATTTTAAAAAATATATATCACATTTACATAAGTATTCAGACCCTTTACTCAGTACTTTGTTGAAGCATCTTTGGTAAAGATTACAGCCTTGAGTCTTCTTGGGTATGATGCTACAAGCTTGTCACACCTGTATTTGGGGAGTTTATCCCATTCTTCTCTGCAGATCCTCTCACGCTCTGTCAGGTTGGATGTGGAGCGTCGCTGCACAGCTATTTTCTGGTCTCTCCAGAGATGTTCGATCGGGTTCAAGTCCGGACTCTGGCTGGGCCACTCAAGGACATTCAGAGACTTGTCCCAAAGCCACTCCTGCATTGTCTTGGCTGTGTGCTTAGGGTCATTGTCAGTTGGAAGGTGAACCTTCGCCCCAGTCTGAGGTCCTGAGCGCACTGGAGCAGGTTTTCATCAAGGATCTCTCTGTACTTTGCTCAGTTCATCTTTCCCTCGATCCTGACTAGTCTCCCAGTCCCTGCCGCTGAAAAACATCCCCACAGCATGATGCTGCCACCACCATGCTTCACCGTAGGGATGGTGCTAGGTTTCCTCCAGACGTGACGCTTGGCATTCAGGCCAAAGAGTTCAATCTTGGTTTCATCAGACTAGAGAATCTTGTTTCTCATGGTCTGTGTCCTTTAGGTGCCATCGGGTTCTTGGACACCTCCCTGACCAAGGCCCTTCTCCCCCGATTGCTCAGTTTGGCCGGGCGGTCAGCTCAAGGAAGTCTTGGTGGTTCCAAACTTCTTCCATTTAAGAATGATGGAGGCCACTGTGTGCTTGGGAACCTTCAATGCTGCAGAAATCTTTTGGTACCCTAACCCAGATCTGTGCCTCAACACAATCCTGTCTCAGAACTCTACGGACAATTCCTTTGACCTCATGGCTTGGTTTTTGCTCTGACATGCACTGTGGGACCTTATATAGACAAGTGTGTGCCGTTCCAAATCATGTCCAATCAATTGAATTTACCACAGGTGGACTCCAATCAAGTTGTAGAAACAGCTCAAGGATGATCAATGGAAACATCAATTATAAATTGATTTGCATTTTAATGAGGGAAAGTAGTATTTGACCCCCTCTCAATCAGAAAGATTTCTGGCTCCCAGGTGTCTTTTATACAGGTAACGAGCTGAGATTAGGAGCACACTCTTAAAGGGAGTGCTCCTAATCTCAGTTTGTTCCCTGTATAAAAGACACCTGTCCACAGAAGCAATCAATCAATCAGATTCCAAACTCTCCACCATGGCCAAGACCAAAGAGCTCTCCAAGGATGTCAGGGACAAGATTGTAGACCTACACATGGCTGGAATGGGCTACAAGACCATCGCCAAGCAGCTTGGTGAGAAGGTGACAACAGTTGGTGCGATTATTTGCAAATGGAAGAAACACAAAATAACTGTCAGTCTCCCTCGGCCTGGGGCTCCATGCAAGATCTCACCTCGTGGAGTTGCAATGATCATGAGAACGGTGAGGAATCATCCCAGAACTACACGGGAGGATCTTGTCAATGATCTCAAGGTAGCTGGGACCATAGTCACCAAGAAAGCTTTTGGTAACACACTACGCCGTGAAGGACTGAAATCCTGCAGCGCCCGCAAGGTCCCCCTGCTCAAGAAAGCACATATACAGGGCCGTCTGAAGTTTGCCAATGAACATCTGAATGATTCAGAGGAGAACTGGGTGAAAGTGTTGTGGTCAGATGAGACCAAAATGGAGCTCTTTGGCATCAACTCAACTCGCCGTGTTTGGAGGAGGAGGAATGCTGCCTATGACCCCAAGAACACCATCCCCACCGTCAAACATGGAGGTGGAAACATAATGCTTTGGGAGTGTTTTTCTGCTAAGGGGACAGGACAACTTCACCGCATCAAAGGGACGATGGACGGGGCCATGTACCGTCAAATCTTGGGTGAGAACCTCCTTCCCTCAGCTAGGGCATTGAAAATGGGTCGTGGATGGGTATTCCAGCATGACAATGACCCAAAACACACAGCCAAGGCAACAAAGGAGTGGCTCAAGAAGAAGCACATTAAGGTCCTGGAGTGGCCTAACCAGTCTCCAGACCTTAATCCCATAGAAAATCTGTGGAGGGATCTGAAGGTTCGAGTTGCCAAACGTAAGCCTCAAAACCTTAATGACTTGGAGAAGATCTGCAAAGAGGAGTGGAACAAAATCCCTCCTGAGATGTGTGCAAACCTGGTGGCCAACTACAAGAAACGTCTGTCCTCTGTGATTGCCAACAAGGGTTTTGCCACCAAGTACTAAGTCATGTTTTGCAGAGGGGTCAAATACTTATTTCTCTCATTAAAATGCTTATCAATTTATAACATTTTTGACATGCGTTTTTCTGGATTTTTTTGTTGTTATTCTGTCTCTCACTGTTCAAATAAACCTACCATTAAAATTATAGACTGATCATGTCTTTGTCAGTGGGCAAACGTACAAAATCAGCAGTGGATCAAATACTTTTTCCCCTCACTGTACCTTGGCCTAAACATCAGCGCCACAGGTAACTTCCACAAAGCTGTGAACAATCTGAGAGATAAGGCAAGAAAGGTCTTCTATACCATCAAAAGGAACATAAAATTCAACATACCAATTAGGATCTGGCTAAAAAATACTTGAATCAGTTATAAAACCCATTGTCCTTTACGGTTGTGAGGTCTGGGGTCCGCTCACCAACTAAGAATTCAGAAAGTGTGACAAACACCAAATTGAGACTGCATGCAGTATTCAGCAAAAATATCCTCTGTTTACAACGTAAAACACCAAATAATGCATGCAGAGCAGAATTAGGCCGATACCCGCTAATTATCAAAATCCAGAAAAGAGCCGTTAAATTCTACAACCACCTAAAAGGAAGTGATTCCCAACCTTCAATAACAAAGCCATCACCTAGAGAGATGAACCTGGAGAATAGTCCCCTAAGCAAGCTGGTCCTGGGGCTCTGTTCACAAACACAAATAGACCCCACAGAGCCCCAGGACAGCAACACAATTAGACCCAACCAAATCATGAGAAAACAAAAAGGTAATTACTTGACACATTGGAAAGAATTAACAAAAAAACTGAGCAAACTAGAATGCTATTTGGCCCTAAACAGAGAGTAGACCGCGGCAGAATACCTGTGCACACTTCTCACAAAATGAGGTGGAAAGTGAGCTGCACTTCCTAACCTCCTGCCAAATGTATGACCATATTAGAGACACATATTTCCCTCAGATTACACAGACCCACAAAGAATTAGAAAACAAATCCAATTTTGATAAACTCCCATATCTATTGGGTGAAATACCACAGTGTGCAATCAGAGCAGCAAGATTTGTGACCTGTTGCCACAAGAAAAGGTCAACCAGTGAAGAACAAACACCATTGTAAATACAACCCATATTTATGTTTTTTTATTTTCCCTTTTGTACTTTAACTATTTGCACATCGTTACAACACTGTATTTAGACATAATATGACATTTGGAATGTCTTTATTCTTTTGGAACTTTTGTGAGTGTAATATTTATTGTTCATTTTTTATTGTTTATTTCACTTTTGTTTATTATTTATTTCACTTGCTTTGGCAATGTAAACATATTTTTCCCATGCCAATAAAGCCCATTTGAATTGAATGGGAGAGAGAAGAGAGAAGAGAGAGAGAGATAGAGAGAGAGAGAGAGAGAGAGAGAGAGAGAGTAAGAGAGAGAGAGAGCGAGAGAGAGAGAGAGAGAGGCCAATAAAGCCCATTTGAATTGGAAGTTGAGAAAGAGAAGCGAGAGAGATAGAGAGAGGTAGATAGAGGAGAGAGATAGAGGAGAGAAAGAGAGAACACAGATATATAGAGAGAGATATAGATGATGAGAGATATATAGAGTATAGATAGTAGAGTAGCACATGCGCGTGACTGATAGGACGCATCGGGAGATAGTAGCTCAATTTTGTACCGTCAAAACTGTGATTATATGTAGAAGCTAGACAACATAGTTTAAATTAAGCCTTTAAAATGTATAGGTCAATATATCACCAAGCAACTGGGAGAGAGTGAGCGGTCAGTTATTCACAACAGCAAACCAATCTGTGAGTAAAGCGAAGCTGAAACTCAAACCCAACAAGCCATGGCTTCCCTTACAGGAAAAGACTAAGAACAACTTGGAGATGCAAATGAGAGCAACGAACAGCTGAATGATAACCAGGAAAACATAGCTAAAATGCTCTCAATGCTCACCAAAACAAACAAACTGTTACAATCTGTTGTTAAAAAAGTAGATTTGCTCGAACAAGACAACAAAATTGGCCTTCTGGAAACAAAGGTGCAAACATTAGAAGTGGAACTGGATCAGCTAGAAAACAGATCAAGACAAAATAATATGAGAATATTGTCCCTACAGGAAGACGAGGAAGAAGGGGAACTTTCCAGCTACGTGATCAAGCTGATAATGGAGGAACTTCGCGTGGATGTATCACCGGAGGATCTGGAGCGATGACATTGGATTGGCGTGAAGTAGAAGAATGCTAAATACCCTCGCTTGGTAATTTTTAAGCTGTGGAACTATCAGACCAAATTCAACATTCTGAGGGCACAGGGGTATAACGAGATCAATGTCCAGGACCAGTCCATTCAATTCGTCCAGGACTTGTCCGCTAGGC